TGCAAGAAAAAAAAAAAAAAGACCCGCAAATCCGTGGCCACAGAACAGCAGAATATGAACGCATGCACAAAGTCTCTCGTTAAGCGTTTTCCTCCTGTAGAAAAACATAAACACTTAACATGGCTTAATGTATTAAGATACATTAAGTGCAATTAAAAAATCTAATTTGATATATAGTTATTATTTAATGTACTAAAAAATCATTATAAATAAAACACGTAATGTAGCTTAATGGACAAAGACAATGATATAAAAGAACTGTAGACAGTGTATTCTATATGGAAATACGCTTAACGCGAAACTGTACGTGTTGCGTTTATTCTGGGCTCACCTGCTTGTCTGTACATCTTCACCACCTGGCTACTGTTGTAAAATGTTGAGAGATTCAAACAAAAATTAATCAATAAATAGAACAAAATAAAAAAATAAAAGACTGCAAGTGACGTCTCTAGCGGATGCACAAGTGTCTGAGAGTGCAAGTCTGAGAGTGCAAGTGCAAGGCTGCAGTCAGACCCTTCGCACACGGCCAGGTATGTTGTCAGCGCCCACAGCCGTACGTGGGTTAATCCTGGACAGAGTCTTCCTTACGTCGGCTGGAGAGAGACCGAGCACCTGGTCGTTTGGAGATGTGTGCAGTTTTTGTGCAGGTGTGTTGTGTATCTCAAATCGTGAGTAGAATGTTTGAGTGCAACTGGCAGGGGTGTGTCATCGTCACTGGCCTGTGGCAGGGGCTCGTAGCCAGTGATGGTCTGAATGGCTTGCCACAGGGTCCGGGTGTCTTCACTGTCACTGAAGTTATTGTTGATTTTTTGAGCATATTGATGTTTTGCCTTCTTGATGCCATGAGACAGATTGGCTCTTGCTGTTTTGAGAGCTGCCTTATCTCCTGATCTGAATGCCTTATCTTGGATTTTTAGCAGCCCGTCATCCATGGCTTCTGGTTGGCTCGTGTGGTGATGGTCTAGGTCAGTGTTTCTCAACCAGGGGTCCGTGGACCCCTAGTGGTCCTTGACGCAAGGCCAGGGGGTCCGTATAAAGTATGAATTTTTGTATACATTTTGACATGACATGTTCCCATGAAAGAAAAATGGCCAAAATACTGGACAAGTCAACTAACTTGAATGATACTTGACTGCATTTGGTCCTCACAAAGACACAAATTATACATAGATGAGTCAATTTTGTTCTGGGGGTCCTTGAGGATGGTTCTGAATTGGACTGGGGTCAGGTACACCAAAAGGTTGAGATTCACTGGTCTAGGTGACCGTCACATCATCTATGATGTAAGCAGTCACTGTTTCGGTGTGTCTTTGTGATTGTTGTAGGTGGCTGCCTCTCTGAACATGTTGCAGTCTGTGTCCTGGATGCAGTCATGCAGTGCTGGCCATCGTCTGGCCATATTGCGATCTGCTTTTGAACAACTGGGGATGTGCGTGCGCACGCAAGTATGTTTGCCTGAATTTCCAGCAGATGTTTGACGGCGACAGATTCGTCACTGCGATATTCAACCGGTCGTAGATTAAAAAACGTGTTTCACCAGTTGTATACATTGGTATCATGCATAATAAAGCGTTTTGATTCCGCGGTGTCCGTACCTGCGTATTATACGCTGTTTTAGGGAAGTTTACCGTACTCTCATGTCACGCTCACAAACCACGCCCTTTGCACATGACGTCACTGATGACGCGCGAAATGCAGCTGGAGGGCAGGAAGTGATTTTCCCCTCAATAAAATCACTAGGAGAAACTCAAAATGCCTATGTTTTGCGCTGTTTACGGATGCTCAAATCGGTCAAACCGAGAAAAAACGAAGAGCTTTTATCGTGTACCAAAAGTTGTTGCTCACAAGGGGGGAAATTTCAAGGAATTGACTGAAAAACGTAGGAAAAAGTGGCTTGAAAACCTGCGTCTGCGGTCGGGAGGAGCGGAGTCGGCTAATGCTCGCGTGTGCAGTGACCACTTTGTCAAAGGTAAGTTATAACTTAAATATGCTATGTTTATGTTTGTATAAAGTTAGCTTTTCCGTACTTCGTGAAGTTAAAATTGTAGTTTTTTTCTTTTCTTTGTTTGAGTTTTTACTCTTGTAACTTAACAAAAATATGTAACATTAGCAAAGCTAACTACAAAGTCTTTGCAGGGGGCAGATTTATTGCTACTGTGTTGTTCTCTTTAGGCTGCCCTAGTGCTATACATGATGTTGAGTCCGTAGACTGGGCTCCTACAATTCACCTCGGTTATCAGAAATGTAGGCCCATGTCAGAAGCATCGCGTAAACGAACGGAGAGTATGAAGTCCAGAGACGATCAATATGGACACGCAGAAGCTGCAGAGGCCTTGCTGGATCTCCATGAGTCAGCTGAGAACACAGAGCAAGAGGACAACACAGAGATGTTACGTGATCAACAAGGTAAAGTCATTGCATTAATAAGTGTTGCCAGTATTTGTACAAGGCAGACGATATTCTTACAACAAACAATGCATGTAAACTTTGAATTAGGCTTACACAATACATAATGAATTCTCTGTGGACTCACCGGGGTGTATAAAATATGTGTAGTGTATAAAAAATATGAATCCGCAAATAAAGTGGAACAGATAACTTGAAACTTTTGTAAGAATGCTGACTACTAAGTAGTAGAAATAGTCAACAATTCATGTCATTATTGATATGGAGAGTAGTTTGAATAACTAATCCCTCTCCCTACTGCTATATATTTTATGCAGATGCAGAATGCCAGACAGACCTAACCATGGATGACTATTAGCCCCGTTTCCACCGCAGGAACTTTCCCCAGGAACTAGGGCTTTGGGCCGGTACTCGGCGTGTTTCCACCGCAGGAACCAGGATCTAAATAAAGTTCCGGGTAAAAATTTGCCCCTCAGAAAGTACCTGCTCTTGAGGTAGTAGTACTTTTTCAAAGGTCCGGAACTTTCGGGGGCGAGACTTGTGCGCTGAGTTCTGCAGCACTGCATGTGTTTAGCGGCTATAAGCCCGTTTCCACCGCAGGGACTTTCCCCAGGAACTAGGGACTTTGGGCCAGTACTCGGTGTGTTTCCACCACGGGAACTAGGATCTAAATAAAGTTTCAGTTTTTTTTTTTGCCCCAAATTTGCCCCTTAGAAAGTCCCTGCTCACCAGGTAGTACTTTTTCAAAGGTCCAGAACATTCGGGGGCGGGACTTGGGCGCTGAGCATGCTGATTGGTTGAGTTCACGCAGCATTGTATTTCATCCACTATATATTCGCATATTTTTGTAAAATATTACTGTTATTGTGTCATGAAATGTTGTTTTAAAAGTATTTCAGGCGAGAATGTAGTTGGTTAAAACTCAAATCTGCGGTTTATTTATAAAGACAGCGGCTATTTGAAAATGTGCTTTGCCGATTTCGGAGACGTGAGCTCCACGCGATCAGCGGGCGCTCAGTGCTCATGTATCCCGACAGGAGCAGCCTCCGCTCAGCTAGTCCTTCTGACATTTGGCGCTGGCTCTGATGTCTCTGTAGTGGTTAAACATAAGATATGTGACCCTGGAGCACAAAAGCAGTCTTAAGTCGCTGGGGTATATTTGTAGCAATTGCCAAAAATACATTGTATGGGTCAAAATTATAGATTTTTCTTTTATGCCAAAAATCATTAGGATATTAAATAAAGATCATGTTCCATGAAGATATTTTGTAAATTTCCTACTTTAAATATGTGAAAACTTCATTATTGATTAGTAATATGCATTGCTAAGAACTTCATTTGGACAACTTTAAAGGTGATTTTCTCAATATTTAGATTTTTTTGCACCCTCATATTCCAGATTTTCAAATAGTTGTATCTCGGCCAAATGTTGTCCTATCCTAACAAACCATACATCAATGGAAAGCTTATTTATTCAGCTTTCAGATTATGTATAAATCTCAGTTTCGAAAAATTGACACTTAAGACTTAGGTTTTGTGGTCCAGGGTCACATATAATTCGTTTTGGGTAAATCTAACAGGTAATGTTTTCATTGTAATGCATGTATTTTCCCTGAAGTACATTTATGCGGCTATTAATATGTTTAAATGAAAACGAAAAGAGGCAGTGGTGTTTGATGTCATATTTCGTCTTATTGTAAATACACATGGTCAAACTATAAGCATCACCACACTGTTAAGTTTCTTATCGGTATTGCTCCCCAAGGGTATGTTTCTTACATATTACTAACTCTTCCTCCCCAAGCAGAAGATAGGCGAATTACAGAAGAGAGTGACCTTCTAAAAAAAAAACTGTTACCTGGAGATATTGTTCTAGCAGACCGTGGGTTTAATGTTGGGGATAGTGTAGGATTCTACTGTGCTTCACTACAGTTACCTGCATTCACTAAGGGGAAAAGACAGTTGTCCGCAGACGAGGTGGAACAAACTAGAGAAATAGCTTTTGTGCGTATTCATGTAGAAAGGGTTATTGGATTAGTTAGAAGGAAATATCAGATTCTGCAAAGTAGGGCCATGCCTATTGAACACATGGCAACAAAACCAGGTGAGTCACTGTCTTTGATAAGATTGGAGTTATTTGCTGTGCCTTGTCAAATTTATCAGTCTGTGGTCCCACTGGAGTAAGAAATTATGAAACTGAAATAATGAACTTCTGATCATTAAATGTCATGATTTGAAATGGTCATGAAATGAAAAACCTTTGGATGTTAATGATATATAATATTTTGGTATACTACTTAATAATAGCATAACAGTACACTGTGTTTTTAGTGAATTTTGTATATAACCTAAGGGCTAAATTCAATCAAATCTACTGTGGTGTCATGCAAAGTTCCCCACGTACAAATAAATACCAAATTAGCTGTAATTAGTTGGGTTAGACCAGGGGTAGGCAAGTTCGGTCCTAGAGAGCCGCAGTCCTGCAGAGTTCAGCTACAACCCTGAAAAAAAAACTCACCTGCCTATAGCCTTAGTAATCCTGAAGACATTGATTAGCTTGTTCAGGTGTGTTTGATTAGGGTTGGAGCTGAACTCTGCAGGACTGCGGCTCTCTAGGACCGAACTTGCCTACCCCTGGGTTAGACGAAGGACAATTGATCTAGCCTCAGTGTGGACACGAAGATATAAAAGTGCAGTGCTCTGCCATGCGCCGCAGTAGCTTTTTTTGAATTTACCTTCAGACTTTATTAAATTCAATATAATTTACAAAGTGCACACTGTTTTAGTTCTTATAAGTAACCACCAATACTTTTTCTTGTATAATTTAATCTTTTTTATTTTGATTTAATTTCCTCAATAAACATCTGATTGCCAACAAAGACACATTCATGTTATTCAGTGCTTTTCTTTTGCAAAATATGACTGAATCAAGTGCCTGAGCTGATGTAAGGTAGTGTCCTTTAGTTATATTACATGTCAAGATGTTGTTTTGTAACTTGCTGTCCCAACACTTCTGGAAGTATACAGTTTCTGAAAAAATTCTTAACTCTAGGAATCAGATCATCCCAAAAGCCCATCTCAGGTATAATCCTTTCAAAAAAAAAAAAAGTAATTGGAGTTCCACACCACAAAGTCGCAATACTCAGCATCCACAAGCTGTGTGAAGCTGTGCCTGGACTTGGTAGTAGTAAGCATGGCTCCTGTCCAGTGTAACCTCATCCCAATCTTTGATAAGGCAGAATCCTTTGTCTCCAGCACACAGGTGCAGATTAACGTTGTCTTGCTTGCAGTGTGGGCACCAAAATTCACAGTAAAAAATAACATGTAAACAACCGATGCGACTAATTTTGTCTGACTTTTTATTTCACTAATTCTTATATAGTCAAGTGTTTTTGTGACATTTCGACTACCAAGTCTTGCACAAAAAGGATAGTTAAAAAAAAGCCCTGTAATAACTTTCCACAGTTCTGTCTTTATAGGAAAGTGAAATTATGATTTTAACATATCAAACATCTTTTTTACCGTGTTTATAATGAACTGTAATATTACCTTTATCTCACAAATCCCAGTTCCATGACAGTCACATGTGACAATCCCATCAGGCGAGGCTCCCATGTATGGCCACTTGGGATTCAGCCAGAGACCACTTTCCATACAGGAGAAGCCCTCATGCTCCAGACACATCAGCCTTTCATACTCTGCTCTGGCTTGTGCCTCATGCTTGCATCCGTAACTGTAAAAAGTACACAGAAACAATCAACAACAAATTAAATGGTTATTTAATATTTAGTGTTGAATTTAGAAACTTTGCAACATTATTACAGTTCAATGGTTTAAATATTTACCATTATCCTAACCCCTATACTTAACCCTACCCCTGCCTAACCCTTAGTTTACAAACCCATACCTTTATGGAGACCCTTATGGTAGTCTTACCGAAAATCTCACCTCTGTCTTATCCTAATTCAAGCCCTAAATACCTTGTCGCGACTGTGGTGAACTTGTGTGCCTCTGGGTAGCATATGGCCTTAATTAAGCTCTTGGACGTTTTCAGAGGGTTCATTTGAAGAACTTGTTTAAGCTTAGAGGCAGTTATGCGTCCAGCTCTTTGTCGATACCAAATCCTGGATGCACCCTGGCTTCGAGTTGCCTTTACAGCCTGCACCTGAGAAGGGGTAAGCTCTTCTAACTGGAAATCCTGGCACAGCTCTGCAAGCTCTTTGGGGGGCAGCTGCATGAGTTTATGGTGTTCTGTATTCAAGAACAGTTTTAGGCAGCATAAATGATTTGGGAACAAATTCCTTGTAGTAATTCTCCCTAGCCATCAGTGCAGCACTGCGTGGACAGTTTCTGCTTAAGGACTCAAAAAAACCTATCATACGTTTCTGACCCTCTCTTTACTCTTGGACATTGAACTCTTTTCTCAACCTTGGCTTGTTCTGTTGATTTCCCAGCGATGGCAGGTTCCATTTTTCTTTTTTTGGATTTTGCAGAGAAAAAAAATCTGTAAGAGCTATGGGAGCAGCAGGAATCTGTAAAATTTGAAAAGCATGAAGATCATTACGTACTGCCCATTTAAGGAAAATTACAGTAACTTACCATTTCTAACACACATATATGTGGTCCATAACATGGAAATTTAAGATATAAAATTGCAACTACAATGTGTGTTGTTTGTCTTAGTCTAAGACAAAACCATATGAATTGTAGTTGCAGTGTTTGATCTTACTTTCCCTGCAGAAGTGTGTTTTACAAATTAACAGTTGCTGTCATTTCCCATAGTAGAGTAGGGTACGAAACAGTACTATGTACAGTACATTTATACACCTTTTGTACATGTGATGGCATCAGCCACTTCTTGCACTTTTCCGTTGTGCAGGAAGGCTGTATCTCACATCTTAAAGGGTTAGTTCACCCAAAAATGAAATTTCTGTCATTAACTACTCACCCTCATGTCGTTCTAAACCCGTAAGACCTCCGTTCATCTTCAGAACACAAATTAAGATATTTTTGATGAATTCTGAGAGCTCTCTGACCCTCCCATAGACGGCAATGTAATTACCACGATCAACGTCCAGAAACGTAGCAAGGAGATCGGTAAAATAATCCATGTGACATCAGGGGTTCAACCGTAATTTTACAAAGCTACGAGAATACTTTTTGTACGCAAAGAAAACAAAAATAACTACTTTATTCAACAATTTGTCTCCTCCGCGTCACCCTGGTGCCATTTTGGAGAGTATCCATTGAACGTAAACGTATGCTATTCTGTCTCAGCTGTGTCACGCGGATACGCTTTCCACGTTGTTTACGCTTTGATTTTAACGAAAACAACGTATTTTTGGGTGAACTATCCCTTTAACACCAGCTTCAATAGAAAAAATGACTGCCCCTAAATGAAAACAGGATTCTGACAATCTGAAAAAGAATAGAATAGGATTTTTTAATTAACCACAAATGGCTGATACATTTAAGATATAATAATATATTAAGACATTATAGGGATGCACAGAAATGAAAATTCTGGTCCGAAACCAAAAACTTTGGATTTATTGACGACGCCTGTTCATTGATATGTAGTTTACTATTGTTCTTAATCAAATTATTTATTTTCTGAGTGATTACATACATATACATGCATACATACATATACATATATATATATATATGCTGCTTTGAAGCTATGTATTGTTAAGTGTTTTTTGTGTGTGTGTGTGATTTTGCTTCAACACCTATTTGTTGAACATTCCCTTAAATTATTATTTGGGATAATTCACTGCATCTTAATGCAAAACTGTAGCTTGTTTATCACTCATTCTTTAGCAATATAAAAAAAGAAAGAGAATGAAATGCTTGACTTGTCAATTTAACCACAGCAATATTGCTGCTCAGATTACATTGGTTCATCTTCAGAACACAAATTAAGATATTTTTGATGAATTCTGAGAGCTCTCTGACCCTCCCATAGACGGCAATGTAATTACCACGATCAACGTCCAGAAACGTAGCAAGGAGATCGGTAAAATAATCCATGTGACATCAGGGGTTCAACCGTAATTTTACAAAGCTACGAGAATACTTTTTGTACGCAAAGAAAACAAAAATAACTACTTTATTCAACAATTTGTCTCCTCCGCGTCACCCTGGTGCCATTTTGGAGAGTATCCATTGAACGTAAACGTATGCTATTCTGTCTCAGCTGTGTCACGCGGATACGCTTTCCACGTTGTTTACGCTTTGATTTTAACGAAAACAACGTATTTTTGGGTGAACTATCCCTTTAACACCAGCTTCAATAGAAAAAATGACTGCCCCTAAATGAAAACAGGATTCTGACAATCTGAAAAAGAATAGAATAGGATTTTTTAATTAACCACAAATGGCTGATACATTTAAGATATAATAATATATTAAGACATTATAGGGATGCACAGAAATGAAAATTCTGGTCCGAAACCAAAAACTTTGGATTTATTGACGACGCCTGTTCATTGATATGTAGTTTACTATTGTTCTTAATCAAATTATTTATTTTCTGAGTGATTACATACATATACATGCATACATACATATACATATATATATATATATGCTGCTTTGAAGCTATGTATTGTTAAGTGTTTTTTGTGTGTGTGTGTGATTTTGCTTCAACACCTATTTGTTGAACATTCCCTTAAATTATTATTTGGGATAATTCACTGCATCTTAATGCAAAACTGTAGCTTGTTTATCACTCATTCTTTAGCAATATAAAAAAAGAAAGAGAATGAAATGCTTGACTTGTCAATTTAACCACAGCAATATTGCTGCTCAGATTACATTGACACAAATTAAGGAATACTTTTGAACAACTGCCTACACAAGCGTTGCAAAAAAACAAAGTAAACCCCTTTTTTTTTTTAAATGTTTTTCTCTGAATGCACACTAGACACTTTTTATAAACGCTCCCTCTCACAAAGACTCAGTTTGATCATGTATGTTTACTTGTGCATTGCACTACAAATCATCTCTTTTGCACAATTTCATGTACAAAATATCTCTTTTGCACAATTTCATTTATAGTATTTAAGTTTTTGTACAGTCAGTTTGTGTATGTATAGTCAACTATTTAAGGTATATGTGAAGTCAGATGGTTAACTGTTGTATAGGTATATAATTGTTTTTCTTTTACTTCTATTGTTGTATGTTCATATATGTTTAACTAGTATGTAGCACCATGGTCCTGCGACACGACATTTCGTTCCACTATATCAATATATGTCCACACATGTAGCAGAATGACAATAAAGCTCGACTTGACTTCATTTGAAAATGTATGTTAGATTATCTATAGAAAACAACTTGAGCCTTAAAGCAACCGTCTTTTTTTTTGTTTTTTTTGAGTATTTTGGGACTTTAGAGCCCCCTACAGTTAAGTGAGTGGAATTAACTCGTAAATATGTCACTGTCCTAATTACAGTAGGTAGCTGCCGGCAAGCAATCCACCCGCGCTCACCAAACTTACATACTGCCAGAAAAGGCATTTGGTAAAGTACGTCCAATTTTCCCCGGACATGTCAGGATTTTTAAATGGCCTAAAATTTCCGGGTTGACTTTTTCTTATTGTTTTCATACTTGCTTAAGGTTATGACTGAAAAGTAGTTTGACCAATAGCGTACAGGTGTTGTACATAATCGACCAATCGTAGGGTGCGAGAAGTTGGGCTCTGTTGAGAAAGGACAAAGCAATGCAAATACGTGAACATACATATAATGTAAAGGATTGTGGTTACCACGTCAGTAGGAAAACAAAGCCAAAACCCGGACATTTTAGGCAATTTAAAAATGTCCCGGTAGAAGAGGGTATAGGCCTACGGTCACCCTACGTTTGGGCGGGAATGTGGGAAAGAAACCGATGCCATTCGTCTTATAGAAGTCGATATGAAATCAGAGTGTGACATCAGTTGCTTGTGAAGTCTCAGAAAATTGCAACCATAGATGTGTATATCTATGATTGCAACTATGTGGAATTTATTAGGTGCTGCTGTCCCCTAATGGTTCCTGTAATGCAGTGCAATAATGCTTTGGCGCAATATAAGGTTTGTTTATTTGTACTTGTCCCCCCGCCCCCCCCGAAGAAAAAAAGCTCCCACGGACAGTTACGGGGTGGATTTTAACCCTTCTCTCGACCTCATCTGATGTGTTTCATAGAGCAGCTGCGGGAAATCATTATTAAGCTCTGTAATCATTACAGATCGAGGGATCGTCGAACGTGTGTACAGATTGGAGTTCATGTTTGATGATGATGGCAGCAGCAGTCAGTGAAAGTCCACACAGAAGCACTGACGATCAAACATCCACCCGAAGACTGAATGACGGTAAAAAAAACAATTTCATCCTCTGTATCTCTCTTATTCATACATCACACTGCTTAAATGCTGCATTCAGCTTTGTATTGTTACAATGTCGGTGTTACAAGTAAATGAACAATGTGTATTATTTTTTGCGTGTTACCTGCACCAAGATATCCCCTTTTATTTGTCAGGAAAAGTCCGGGAGCAATCAAAAGTTGTGAAAACTACAGATCCTACTTCCGCATTTTTGTATCCCCGCTCACGGATAGTCTGCTCGAGCCCTGTGCATTATGGGTTTTGAAGTTTTCTTAATTTTTTTTTTCCTGTGACAGCCCCTTTTATCTGTTTTCTCTTATCGTGTAGAACCAAACCAATTCCGTTTTAACTGCATGACAGCCAGCTTCTATCATAATAATAATAATAATAATAAAACATTTGCGGTGAATTACCCTTTTAAGGACTCGATGCTTTGGCTTTGGCATCATGATAGTAAACATATTTGTCACGCATGTACTTTTTTGTGTAGTGATTAGGTACTCCATGGTAGTTTAAAGAATACCATGGTGCATTTTGTATTCAAACAAAAAGTTCTAAAAAATAACATGGTAAGTATTAGCCTATCATACCATCCTTATGAAAGTACCATATTATTTACCTTGGAGCTTTATAGTGTGGGACTGCCATCAGAGAATGGGATCATTGTAAAACAGAGAAACCAGATAATCACATGTCTGTCCATCCACTGGTCAAACTCCAGAAACCAGACTTGCTTTTTGTTCCTTATTTTCTGTGATATTCAGAGAGGCTAACTTATGCAGTGTTGGGGGTAACGCATTACAAGTAACGTGAGTTACGTAATCAGATTACTTTTTTCAAGTAACTAGTAAAGTAACGCATTACTTTTGAATTTAAAAGAGAATATCTGAGTTACTTTTTCAAATAAGTAACACAAGTTATTTTTTTTCCAATTTATTGATTGAATTACTTTCCATAAAAAGTAACTAAGTAATGTAATTAGTTACTTTTTTATGGAGTAACGCAATATTGTAATGCATTACTTTTAAAAGTAACTTTCCCCAACACTGAACATATGCAATAATATTTTTGATAATACAATGTTTCTTGCTTTAATTGTCACATTCTAGTATTATTTCTCAGTCTAATGGCATTGAAAAATTAACTTGATTGGCAGGAAATTTCTACATGCAACAGTGTGAATATTCAGTGCAGATGAATTAATCTGTTTAGGTGTGTCTTTAACTGATGATAGTGACTAGCTACATTCAGAAAAAGGAGAAATGTTCGTAATGCTGGCGTTTGTCTGTGTTTAGATCTAAATATCTTTCCCGTGTCTCTTGCAGTGAAAGTAATGAAGTTCATCAGTCTGGTGATTTTGGTGATCCAGAATGTATCGCTCATCCTCGGCATCAGCTACGTGTGGACATTGTCTGATTTCTTGGCCACATCTGCTGTTGTGATGGCAGAGATTCTTAAAGTTCTTACATGTCTGTTTATCATCTCGATGCAGAGGACTGGAGAAGCAAGCTTTTATGACATTGCGTGGGTTGGCAGAACTGTTTCACTATACATACTGAATTGTGTATTGAACAGTGTAATGCAGGGGTGCCCAAACTCGGTCCTGGAGGGCCGGTGTCCTGCAGAGTTTAGCTCCAACCCCAATTAAACACACCTGAACCAACTAATCAAGCTCTTACTAGTCATATTAGAAACTTCCAGGCAGGTGTGTTGAGGCAAGTTGGAGCTAAACTCTGCAGGACACCGGCCCTCCAGGACCGAGTTTGGGCACCCCTGGTGTGATGTGACAGTTGTCATAAGATGTTCCATTTAAGCGATTTTATAGATATGTCTTTGTTTTGAAATAAACAACTCTCTTGTCCATTATATAATAATTAGTGGCAAATATGTATTGTAAAAACACTATGCAATTATGATCATATTTACATTCATTTTTGTCGTATAAAGTCGCTTTATCACATTGTAGGCTAAAATTAAAATCAGCTGATAATAAATCTGAACAACGTCAAATATTATTACTTATGAGGACAAATGTGTATTTAAGCAATAAAGACATTTTGCACATTTTATGTTTTTTTTACATGCCCCTTTTCTCAATCTGTATAGGTTTTGGGTTAATTGTGTGAGGATGCGTGTTGAACAGCCTCAAATAATGTCTAGTTTTGTTCAGAAAGAATCTGTGTATTTCCTTACTGTAAACCATAGGCATAACTTTTATTCAAATGAACAGACATAAGATTATAATAATAATTGCAATTGATAATTTCAGTCTCAGTTGTCAATCATGCGGTGAAAAGACTACAGAAACTATTGCTTGCTTCTGCCATCTAGAGGTTCCTGTAGATCAAAACATACTTCTTGAGAGACAGTTTTCAATGGATTTTTGTAGTATTTAATTATTGTTGAGCAACACTATAGCAATAGTTCAGTTACCTGTTTAGTCCATACATTGGTGTCAATTAAATGTTAAAGATAGCACAGATTTAATTAAGAGTTAAAACTACATTTTAAATGTAATAATCTATGGTAATTCGGTAACACTTTACTTGAAGGGGTGTGCATAAGACTGACATGACACCTTCATAATCATAACATGACACATGTCATGAATATGAAGGAGGTTTTATGCATGTTTATGACAACTGTCATTAAGTGTCATTCGCTCAGTTATGTCATTTTTAATGCAAATATGACATTATTTGACCTACCCTTACCCCTAACCATAGCCCATAACAAAGACATCTCAAACAATGTCATCTTTGCATTAAAAATGACATAACTGAGCGAATGACACTTAATGACAGTTGTCATAAACATGCATAAAACCTCCTTCATATTCATGACATGTGTCATGTTATGATTATGAAGGTGTCATGTCAGTCTTATGCACACCCCTTCAAGTAAAGTGTAACCAGTAATTCTAATATACAAATGTTTTTGCAAATAGTGCAGTAATAAAATAATATGATATTATTGGAAATATGTTTTTTTCTTCACTAAGCAAAACAAATCCTTAATCCCCAAACCTCCATGGGTCGCATAATTCCCTTAAAAATGGCTGTATAAGAAAATAGCATGGTATTGCCATATGATATCAACAGTGTGGTAATGTTATTTGTTTGACCCGAGCCTGCAGGCGGCGCTAAAACGGCTCCATAATTCAGAACACGAGAAAGTGAAGAAGATCGCGTAACAGGAAGTGCTTGTGTGTTTGGGGACGTCAACACTTTTCCTCAGCAGCTCTGATCATTTCCACCTCATTCACCGCATTTGTGAGCTGTTTCATGGGGCAGAGGCGGGGAAGTTATCATTGAGCTCTGTAACCATTACAGATCGAGCGGATCGTGTGAGTTTGTGGACAGGTTGGGGTTCATGTTTGATGATGATGATGGCAGCAGCAGCAGTCAATGAGAGTCCTAACAGAAGCACTGAAGATAAAACATCCACCCGAGGACAGAATGAAGGTGAATAACAGCATTTTATTTATGGTTTAAACGTCTGACAGCTTAAGGACTCTATGGTTTCAACGAAGTCAACTCACCCGTTAGAAAATGAAGAATGGTAACCATAGTTACCACCCAAATTCCTTAGTCACCTGTAATAAAGACGTACTTTGATATTACCATGGTTATTGGACGTATATCATGGTAATGTTTGACGGACAATGTAAATAACATGACATGAATATGGTACTGAGGTATTGCCGTATGATTTCATCACTTACAAAAAGTACCATGGTATTCTTTAAAGTATCTTAGAATGAATACCATGGTTCATGAGTATGGCAGTCTTTCAAGTATTCAGCAAAGGAAAAAATACAAAGATTCTCATTTAAAGTTAGTCTAATTTATTATGATTGTCCAGTAGCAACAATAACATTTGTAGTAATTCTGGTATTTTGTAAACTATTAGAAAAAAAAAAATTCATAGTACTATAGATTTTATGCATATACTATAGTATTTTTTGAAGTTCTATGTAAATAGCATGAACATGGCAGTCATTCAATACTATAGTGAAAATCAAAGTACCATGGAATTGGTTATGGATTACTACGGGACATTTTTTTGTAAGGGTAGTTTTGATGTAGAGCCCAAATAATGGAAATCAGGAGCTCAATACAACACATTTACGATATTGCAAAGGAAAACAATATCTATTTTTGGGCTTTACTTCAAAAATATAGTCATTCCAAATTTACTTTGAGAAAGTTGCTCGTCTATTCACTGCATTTCATAGTTTTCTAATCAAATATTAACAACACATTTTTATTTATTTTTATTTTTTAATTTTTTTAAAAAAGAACTAACAATGGACATTTGTACAGCCTTTATTAATCTAGTTTAGTTTTTGTTAAGGTTAGTTCTGTGTTAATTTCTACATAGATTTTACATCTCAAGATGTAGAAGTTAACCATTTATTGTGAACAACCATGAATGAACAAAAACAATATTATATTTATAAATCAACAATCTAGATTACTAAATGCTGTAAAAATATAAATTGTTAGCTCATACCTAATGCATTGCACCAGACTTTATTCACTGTCTTTGTACTGCTGTGTATGTGTAAAAATTCTCTAGGACTTCTGTTGTAATGAATGTCATGCGTGGCATTGTGTGGCAGTGATTTTCCCATGTAAAGCACTTTGAATTTCCTCAGTCAGTAAATAAACTGTGAAACGTTTTGTTCTGCCCATTGTCATCTTGCAGCTCTTTTTCTTTGTCAGATGGGTTTTGACATGGTGACAGAGGGTGTGTGGCACTTCTCTCAGTCCGTCTGCATTTATCACATTCTTTACAGAAAAAAAAGACATCAGCACACTATAAACCAGCAAAACAAGTTTATAAGTTTCACAATTCCTGTTCATCATGTCTATAGTGTCCACAGGCTGTCTCGAGAAACGTGACTTTTTTGTTATACGTAATCTCTCTAATAATAACACCATGGTAAATAATTATTTGTTTTGTATTTTTTTGTGAGATTTGTCATATGTTTGGCTTTATTTATATCTTTGATATCTTTTGTTTTCTCGCCTTTTAATGTTATTGAAGTCAGATAACCTTGTAGTTTTGTCTGTTTGGTAATTGGTACCTAGTTTGCCAGTGAACTGCGTTAGCTAAAAAATGAATTAAGGAAAGTGTTTGGTGAATGAATGAAGTGTCTGTAAGCAGGGTGTTGCCACTGGATTGAGCAAACATCCGCCCGCTGTCGACGTGTGTAGGTGTGTCCTAACTGAAAACACAAACTAAACATTGACTAGCCTCATTCGGAAAAGTGAAATGCTGCCATTAAACTGACGTCAGTGTTCAGATCCGTTCATTTAGCCTCCAGTTATCCGGTTTCACAGTGTCAGTAATAAAAGCTAGTTTTGACTAAAAGATTATGTCTCTTGCAGTCAATAGGAAGTTGAAGTACATCAGTTTGGCGATTCTGGTGATCCAGAATGCGTCGCTCATCCTCAGCATCCGTTACGTGCGGACGTTGCCGGGAGATCATTTCTACACCACATCAGCCGTGGTGATGGCAGAAGTTCTTAAAGTCTCCACCTGTGTGGTCATCATCCTGATACAGAAGAGAGGTGCGTTCACTGGAATCACATTGTGGCATGTTACGTGCAGCGTGTGATTCAAAGATTAATGTCTTATCTTACAATACTTTTTGTGTTTTATTTTAACAATATATATATTTATTATGATTTAAAATGCATTTGAAAAGAAATGCCACCTTAATATTTAAATGACATTCATGTAATGTTTGTGTGGCTGAAGTGCCCAACACTAATCTATATAGATTTTTTTATGTAAGAAATTAAGATTTATATTAAATTGCATTTAACTGATCAAAAGTGACAGTAAATATATTTATAATGTTAAAAAAGATTTCTATGTCAAATAAACACTGTGAATGCTTGAATTTTCTATACATCAAAAAATCCTTTAAAAGAATGTATCTACGTTACAAAAATATTAAGCAGCACAACTGTTCTCAACATTGATAATAATAATAATAAATCTTTCTTGAGCATTAAATCATTTTATTAGAATGATTTCTGAAGGATCATGTGACACTGAAGACTGGAGTAATGATGCTGAAAATTCAGCTTTGCATCACAGGAATAAATTACAATTTAAAATAAATTCAGATAAAAACAGTTATTTTTAGCTAGAGCATTTTTTAATTATTTTTTTTAACAATTTTGCTGTTTTACTGTGTTTTCGATGAAATAAATGCAGCCTTGGTGAGAATAAGATACAAAAACATTTAAAAAAAAGTAGTACTACTAATAATTAATGTGTATATATATATATATATATATATACGAAAATCATTAGGATATTAAAGTAAAGATCATGTTCCATGAAGATAATTTGTAAATTTCCTACCATAAATATATCAACTTAATTTTTGATTAGTAATATGCATTGCTAAGAACTTCATTTGGACAACTTTAAAGGCGATTTTCTCAATATTTAGATTTTTTTGCACTCTCAGATTCCAGATTTTCAAATAGTTGTATGTCCTAACAAACCATACATCAATGGAAAGCGTATTTTTTCAACTTTCAGATGGTGTATAAATCTCAATTTCGAAAAATTGACACTTAAGACTTTTGGTTTTGTGGTCACACATATATTTTAATTACTACTTTTATTAGTAGTAGTAGTATTGCAGCAATATGTCTGATGATAATATGCCTTTTCTTATTTTTTGTAAATACAGGTAATGTGAAGTCCTTTGTATCGTTGTTGTATGACTCTATAGTCGTACAGTATTTGGACACGCTGAAGTTAGCAGTTCCATCACTCATCTACACTTTACAGAACAACCTGCAGTATGTGGCCATTTCTAATTTACCAGCAGCCACTTTCCAGGTGAGCCTGCTCCAAAATTTGTTTATGCCCTTCCTTCACCTCTCTCTCTCCCGAGAGATTCGGTCCTTTTCACTTCATACGTCCCCAACTGTAGACTTTTGTGACACTTTTATTTTTATTTATTTATTTATTTCACAAAAAAGGGACGGTGTACATTAATCAATATTCATGAATGTAAATGTACCCAAATTAGCCCAAAGGCTAGTTTTCATTGGTAGTCCCTTTGCCAGATGTTATTAGGCCAAAAAACTATAATAAAAAAAAAGAAACAAAATTGGGAAAAAAACTGACAACAAAATTCAACTAAAAATGAAGCAACAAATTATACAAGTCTTTAAGTCTGCTTATAATGTTAGTTCAAGTTTCTTACACCAAAAGAGTTGTAATTTAGTATTACACAACTACTTTCTATCCTTTCTCTGATTAAACAGCCATTGCAGCCAAGTAGTTTTAAAATGTTTTCTGTAGGAATTAAAATGCGTGAGAATTCTTGCTAAAAGGCATGTTTTTATTTTAGTATAGTATTAGTATTTTATTTATGATATTATAGTACTTATTAGCATATTGAAATACATTCATATTTTCAGTTTATTTAAAGTGTTACTCATTTTGTTTTGTGAGTTTGTCATTTTTATTAGCTTTTTTAAAACTTCTATATGTGACCCTGGAGCACAAAACCAGTCTTAAGTCACTGGGGTATATTTGTAGCAATAGCCAAAAATACTTTGTATGGGTCAAAATTATCGATTTTTCTTTTATGCCGAAAATCATTAGGATATTAAAGTAAAGATCATGTTCCATGAAGATAATTTGTAAATTTCCTACCATAAATATATCAAAACTTAATCTTTGATTAGTAATATGCATTGCTAAGAACTTCATTTGGACAACTTTAAAGGTGATTTTCTCAATATTTGGATTTTTTATTTTGATCTTTTTGCACCCTCAAATTCCAGATTTTTAAATAGTTGTATCTCGGCCAAATATCGTCCTATCCTAACAAAGCTTATTTATTAAGCTTTCGGATGATGTATAAATCTCAATTTCAAAAAATTGACCCTTATGACTGGTTTTGTGGTCCATGGTTGGTCACATATAGCTTTAATTTTATTTAACTTTAATACTATTTGTTTTATTTTAACTTTATTTCAATTACTGAAAACAATACCAACACTGTTTCTATGCTACATTTTACTAAATAAACACAGGGCGAAGTTGTATTTTATCATTTGTTTATATGCACCAATGTAACAGTGCATAGTAATGAACGTTCATATATATCTGCATATGGTTGATTTACAGTTTTAAATCCATTAATGG